AAAAAGAAGTCTGATGAGGAGATGTGGTGATCTCCGAAATAGTGCTATAACTTCTACCGCTTAGACTTTGTTGCTTTTTCAATTTTTCCTAATAAACAATCGTGGTACAAAGCTCAATAAAAATATTAAGAATATCCAGTATGTTCTCTTTAGATTTCTTCAATATCTTCCCTTAAAAAAAGTAAATAAAACCCGTGGGTGTTATTTTCTTTCGCTTTATTTTGCAGGACCATCCCAATTATAATTTTGTATTTAAATCTGCAAGCCCATATTTACACACAATGAAATTATATATTTTAAACATCGCTCTAATTGCATAATTATAAATCCAGTACAAAAGTCTTGGAAGCAGCCGTCACAACCAAGACAGGTCTTTCTTCTATGACTTTTGCATGGTAAGAGCTCTCTTAAAACAGAGTGGTTATTTCTTTTATAATCATAACCTAATTTAAAAGAACTCAAAAAATCTAAAAATTACTTGTTGCAAAACTATAAATCCAAAAAAAATCCCAACGAAAATGAATAAAACATGAAAATATGTCTTTCTAATACTCTATTTGTGCTCCATTGACTTTGATTAACTGAAATACGGGCTTCCTCATACGTAGACATAATGTCTTCAGTAAAGCAGCAGCCAGTTTATGTCACTCTTGCAAAATCGCCAATTTAAGCCATATAACGTTTTCAAAATGGCGATTATCAGCATAAACTGTCTTCGCCAGCATTCCCCACGCATTCTCCATTGGATTGAGATAACGAGAGCACAAAGGTTCGAATATTGCTGCTTTCCAAGCAGCATTTTGTCTCCCTGCTTCTATGAATTGCAGCATTGTCGTGTTGAAAAACGCATTGTCTTTCATTGCACTCAATAATTGGTTTCAGATGTTATTACACCCTACAAAATCACATTTCCGCGACCGAAGTTCCGCCGGTAAAAAATGCATCGTTCTCGCCGTAAATGGTTCTAGTATCCATTCAATAGATTTGTACCATCCAGATTGATTTCTTTTCGTCTGAAAAGATAATCTAAACCAACTTCTTAATTCTTAATTTTAAGGTAAAATAACCATTTTAACAACTTGGAGAATTCTGTCAATTGCCATGCTTTTGCTAGCGAAATCCTCTCGAGCAGCTTTAGGATGTAGCAAAAGATGCGGAACCGTGATTATTTCACCATACTCGAGGTGCTAGTAACGTTTTAAGGCCCTCCAAATTGTTTGACGACCAACGGGATCTGAACATTTTGCTGTTAACTTGTGGCCAATTGTGATGAATTAATCTATACATAGTATAAAGGAATGTCGAGATTATTTGTACGCGGATTTTGACGAGATTTTCTCTAATATACTTTGTATCGACAGGAGAGTGACCTTTTTTACTTAGAATTTTAATAGGGTCGCCACCTCTCTAAAAAACTATAAGATCCGCACCGTTCGTTGGATTACAAAACATGAGGTGTCAAATGAAAGGCATGGGCCTCTAGAAGAATACAAATGTTTAATTTTTTTGAATAGGGTTACCACCTGTTGATAAAATTACTATATACAATCATAATAAGCGTAGGCATCAGTTCGGTACAGTCGCAGTCAAACGTTAAGGCTTGGCTTCTAGATGTGCAATAGTGGATTATTTTTCTGAGTAGGGTTGCTACCTAATAAAAAGTAAAACGATTTTCCCCGTTCGTTGGATTACAAAATGAGATATCAAATGAAAAGGCATGGCCTTCGCATGTACAAAAACTTTAATTTTTTTGAGCAGGGTTGCCACTTATTTTTAAATTACTATCTTCTATACATAGTTTAAAAGCATGTCGAGATTCTTTGAACACGCTATTCTCTAAAACTACTGAACGGATTTAGATGAGATTTTTTAAGTATAATCTGTATTGATAGGAATATTATCTTTAGTACTTTAAATTAGTATAGGGTTGTTACCTCTCTAAAATATTGTAAGATCCTCACTGTTCGTTGGATTACAAGATAGGTGTCAAATAAAAGGGCTCGGCGTTTAGATGTTCAATAATGTATTACTTTTTGAGGAGGGTTGCCACTTTTTAAAAATTAGAAGATATTCACCGTTTGTTGAACTAAAAACTGAGGTACCAAGTGAAAGGATATGGCCTCTACATTTGAAATAAGTTTTTTTTTGAATTGGGGCTGCCACCTATTTAAAATTTATGTATGTATAATACTCGAAGGCAATTTTTCTTAATGACTTTAGATTTTAGGTGTCAAATGAAAAGGCTTGACCTTCAGATTTGCAGTAAGGTTTTATTTTTCGAAGGGGGTTGCCACCTGTGCGAAAAATTAAAAAAATGTGGGTTGTTCGTTAGATTACAAGAAATGAGGTGTCAAATGAAAGAGCTTGGTCTCCAGATGCGCAATTATATATTATTTTTTTAGTAGGGTTGCAACCTGTTTAGTTGTCAATCACACCTTATTTAATATCTACACACTAGCGCATACGAGGCCGGCTAGTACCTTATAAATTACAAAACCGATTAGAAAGTTAATGATCGCAAAGTAAAAATAACGCAGTTTACAAAAAAACAAGTTTCTGCATATTAACCAATTCTCTATATCCCTATGTTATTCGACGCATTGAATGCGAATCCGGGTCATTTGAGGGTGAAATAGGACAAAAAATGTATTCAATAAAAAATAAAATATTTTGCTTTTGTTGTCGCTGAATCCGAATATGGAGGTGCCTTCATTCCTCACCCCAAGGTCGAATTCAAACAATTTTATTGAATTTTCAGGTTTATTCAATGAATTTTTCCCTACTTGACCTTCAAATGACCTCGAACCTGATGTGATGGAGGCTAACAATCCTCGGATTCGCATTCAGGGCGTCGAATAACATAGGGATATAGAGGTTTGGTTCAATATGCAGAAACTTTTTTTTTGTAAACCTGTGTAATTAATGTACCTTTTATTTGAAGTATGTACATAAAGTTCTATCGAGCCACATTTTTTGTTTGTCCATAGCTAAACGGTTGGTATTCTAGTCTTATGCAAAAATTTTCACTTCACATTTGACATCAGCAAGGCCGAAGAAAATAAACAAAAAAAGCTATTTTAAGCGCCCGCTTTTGGACACAAATTGTTCGTATTTAAATTTAGAATTTTTGCAGGAACTTAAGAGCACATCTCAAGGCTTATATAAACAACTAGAAGAACATAATTGGTTTGGAATTTGGCCTCTCAGTTAAATCAGCCCGTGCGTCATCCATATCACAATATTCTCATCGTACATACATATAGAGCATTTAAATTATGACCCTGAGGCTGACGTGAGTCGCATAACATGGAGATATAGGGAATTGGTTCAATATGCAGAAACTTTTATTATTTTGTAAACTGCGTTATATTTAGTTTGACATCATCAATTTTCTAATCGGTTTTGTAGTTTATAAGATATTAATACGTATTTTAAACTCTTATATTCTTCTTTGTTTTTTACTTGGCATGTTTGAAATCAGCGTAAAAAGTTCTATTGATTTGCATTGTTGGCTTTTTAATAGGTAAACGGTTGGTATTCTTATAAGCTCCAAAAGCATATTTATAAGCTAAAAAACAACAAAAACATTAATATAATGCCTTATAGTAAATGGATACAATAAATCAATACAATTACATTTGGTGATCAGCTGTTCGCATGGAAAACGAAACAAAAATGCCAATATGTTGGCAAATTCATTTTCATTATTTTGACATTTTCCGTCAAATATGACCTAATGAAATCCAGGCATATGAAAAGACATGCAGTATGGAGGAGAAAAATCGTATTACCACGCATGGATACATACCTTTGGGCATTCTTTCGTTGAGGCCCTAAAAACTTTGAAATCGCTCCAGGGTTTTATCCGTGTTTTTCAATATAATTCAAATATCACAGGATTTTGAGTACTATAGCTTAGCCAAGCAACAGCGTTAACCCGGATTAAGAACTATAGTCAATATGAATTAACACCTACAACTAATTTTCAAAATTAAAGAGAGTTGCGGACATTTTCGGTTACAAAACCGTAAAAATTGGCAGCTATTTTTTATTGCAAATTTGGTGGTCGCCGTAGTAGCCTGGTTAGAGGGGCGTACAACGACTAACTAAGACCCAGGTTTCATACCTGGTTTGGAAAACGTCCAAAAGATATGGAGTTTTTAAAGCTACTTTTAATTTATTTCTATTTGTTTACTTTGGTTTATTGTTTTTTTAGTTGTGTGTTTATTTTTTTATTTCGTATTTTTATTTTGTTAAACATATATTATTGTTTGATATATTTTTTTAGAATATTTTGTTTAATCTTATTCATTTTGTTTAAATTTTAGTATTATTGTTAAATCTTAGGCACTTATTTTGCGTAATTTTATTGTTTTTTTAATCAACACATTATGTTTATTTTTTTTAAGTTTATTTAATTAGTTTTAAGATAATTAAGGTTTTCCGAAACAAATATGTATTATATTAATAAACATATAAAAGAAATGAAAAAGTTAATAAAGTATTTGTGGCGGGCGTGGACTCACATCCCACGACCACAAGGAAAAAATATTTGCTGCGGCCGTTAGTCCGCAATAGTGCCGTTTGTCAGAGAACGATTAATTGCGCTGTTAATCCGGATTAACGTTGTCGTCAGTCTATGCTTTTTGGAATTATATTCTGCATATATGTAGATAATAATTTATATTTAAAAACTTATTTACCATCCTCGATATTTTGCAGCAAAATTTCCTGGCGATGTTTTCTTTTCGTATCACCCTCATCTTCGTATGGATCACCTCTGACTAGAATTCCAAATTGTGGATATCCAACACCGACCGTTGCTATATTAATATTTGCAAAGTGATCACTTTCGATTGCTTCTTCCATTGAATCCGCTGGTTCCACATCACACAATATATTTGACTGAGACATCCTGGCGAGAAGTATGTGACTATAGCCGTTTGAATTTTTCTTGCTCTTTAATCAGTAGTTGTTTTTGGAAAACCCTTGCGTTGTGTGATATCTTTGTAAGGTATGGTGAGTTTCCTAGTCACCACAAATTGGTTTTATTGCTACTATTTCTTCCGCACTTCACATCATTAGATGTATGTACATCAACTATATCAGCGAATTTCCTTTGATGTTAGTCCTCTTATTAATACCATATAATTCCTGAGTAGTTCACTTAATAATCAGCATATCTTTGGTTGTTGTTACGAAATGCTAGTAAAATAATACATTTTTATAATATTTATGAAACACTTACATCCGCACTCAGAGTTGTTTAATGACTATTTAGTGTGTTCCTCAGTAATGATTCATTAACAGCATTTAATGAACATTAAACTAAAGTAAAGAACAACCATTACTTAACTTTTCAACGAATGAATGATTATGGATTTCGTTTGTTTCAATAATATTGACTTTCGTTAACGTTGCTGTAAAGTCGTTGTGGCCCAGTGAGCAGGGCACTGGCGTGCCGTTCTTGAGATTGGTTAGTAGTTTGGTTTGTCTTTTAGGGCCAGTTTTTCAGTGCACAACCGTGGTTTAAACTAAGTTTAAACGCCCGATCTGGCTGGTTTAAATTAAGATTAGCAAATCAAATGTCAGCCAGCAGTTCAATTTAAACGCAGTTTACTTAATCTAAACTTAAACTGGCACTGAAAAACTGGCCCTTAGCAAACAGTTTCTAACAATTTAATGTAATTAAAAAATTAGTTTCTTTTTAAAACAATAATATCACAAATCAAAAAAAAATAAGTTAAACAAGAAAAAAATTAAATACGTCTCTAAAAATTTAAGAAAAAAAATAAATAAATAAAAAAAGGGAAAAGAAAATTTTCGTGACCCAGGACTCAAACTTGGATCTTTCGAATGGCAGGCCAGTGCTCTGCTCAATCAACCATTTCGACTGTTGAGGCAGCCCGCGCAAAATGATATAAATACTTATTTTTATATTTGATTTCAAACTGGAGGAAAAGAGTGAGTGATGCCACAAAAAACAGGGCCCCACTGTGGCCATACTGAAATTTTTCAATAACTAATAGGCCCATACGTTTTAACTCTTAGAGGAAACAATAATTAACAGATTTAACGATCATTAGTTAAGTGCCCGTTAGAGCTAATTTAATGAACTCGTTAGAGGAAACATTAATTATCAGATTTAACGATCATTAGTTAAGTTAGAGGTAATTTAATGAACGTTTCTGAGTGCGTTAGCTGAAAAAATACAATATTAACAAAAAATAATTAGTATGAGGTCAGTAATAGCAGTCGCAAGTAGTAGTATGTTACTGACACGAAATAATATATCTACCGAAAACAAAAAATATCTGCGCTACCCAAACAGGTTACTAGAACAACCGATATGAAAAAAGGAAGAAAAATGTTTTTACTGAGTCAAGTTTTCTCAAGTGGGCCACCCAAAGTTGACTTTTCGATTTTTTATATGTCATTGGCCGATTTTGAAAGTTAACATGGTGTACAATATTGACACCAACGCTTTTGAGCTAATTTTAAATTTTTCGACGAGTTATTTGCAAACAAATTTTTTTGCAGGCTTTACACTTTTTGCAATATTTGAGCAACCATTCATTCGATTTTTTGACGGCAATTAGAAAACTTATTGGGCAACAAAATAAAGTGGTCAGTTTGCAATATTTGTGGGCAACAAAGCAAAGTGGTCACTTTGTAATATTTCGATTTTGTTTTTACAACAATTTTTATTTTTATAATCAATTTAATTTTTTTTTACCAATTACTCACTTACTTTTTTCTAAGTATGTGAGAAGTTGGTAAAAAAAAATTAAATTGATTACAAAATTACAAATTTTTGTAAAAATCAAATCGAAATATTACAAACTGACCACTCTGTTTTGTTGCCCAATAAGTTTTCTAATTGCCGTCAAAAAATCTCGAATGAATGGTTGCTGAAATATTGCGAAAAGCGTAAAAGCCTGCATAAAAATTTGTTTGTAAATAACTCGTCGAAAAATTAAAATTAGCGCAAAAGTTCAATATTGCACACCATGTTAACTTTCAAAATCGGCCAATGACATATTAAAAATCGACTCGTCGGGACTGACATCCGACCATGATAAATCTCCACAAATATACTGGTTATTTTTTGCTTATTAGTCTTTTAGCATTTATAATGAAATGAAATGCCTGTGACCAGAAACTTTTCAATATTCTTCGTATTTTTCTGTTAGGATTTTTTCAGAAATTCTTCGTGTTCTATTCTTCGAGATCATATTGAACTTTTAGAGAAGCTTTCGGGATTTTCCGTGTTCTAGTTTACGAGATTTTTTCGGGATTATTCGCGTTTACCTTATCAGGATTTTTTCGCGATTATTTGGGTTTCTTCGTGTTTAGTTTTCTGTGATTTTCAGACTTTTCGGTTTGCCTTGTTTAACTTTTTTGGTCGTTTCGGACTATTTTGGAGATATTTTGGGACTTTTCGCAAAAATTTAGGTTTAAAAGAATATTAATTTTTGTATAAGCTTTCCTTTTTATTAATGTCCGATAAGATAAAAAACAAAACAGAAAAGTTATTTTCTGTTCAAAAATACATCAACCAAACTGTGGCACTTATTTTTGCCATGTAAAATATACAGCAAATGCCATTGTTGTTGCAGCGGCTACTAAACCACGCAAATGCCGCAAAATCTTTTTGCTTTTCAGCTTCCTTACACAACATACTTCAATAAAGTGCTCAGCTTAGCGTTTAGCTTTTCTGACTTTGTACATCGATGATGTGGGTTTTATTGTTGACATCATCCACCATTGTCGATGGTATTGAGATTTCGAAAATGTTACTACGGCATTAATATACATACTGTTAAATGAAGTAACAAAATATTAAACACAGCTTGTACACAGTGACACCTGTCAACGCATATAAGAGCTAAATAAACTTGTCATTCCATTATCGGCATTCTCGTGTTTCATTACAGTTATGGGACCCACGCGGTTTTTAATTTCTGCAAAGTTTTATTAAAAATAAAGATGGCTTCAAAGGGAAGAGAAAATTATGAGGATTGGGCGTTCGCAGTAGAAAATTTCCTCATCCTGGAAGGAATGCAAAAGTGTATTAGTACGGAAGGAACAGACTTCGACGCCAAGGCAAAGGCGAAAATAATTTTAACCATTGATCCGGATCTCGTATAAACGTGCATATAAAGACTGAAACAAGCGCAAAAAACTTGTGGTTAAAATTAAAAAGAATGTTCGATGACACTGGATTCTCGTGAAAAATTAGTCTTTTATTTATTTATTTATTGCAGTTATATGAAACAGACGTTCCTTACAGACTAGAGATAAAAATTTAGCTACTTAGACGATACATGTAAAACATAAAGCACTCTACAGTTTCGAAATCAAAGAAAAAATAAATAAACTTTTTGGAAGAGAGAAATCAAGGTCGATAGAATTCGAGATCGTGTTAAATTCGTTTAAAGCTCTTGAAATAGGAGCATTTCTGGCATACTCCGTTTTAAAATTTCCTCCATAAAACGGCAGAGGACTGCGAAGATTCCTTAGAGGAACATTGAAGTTGACCTGCTCTAGGAGCGTAGGGCAATCGATCACACCATTTATTAAGTTAAAGGTAAAAGTTAGAGATAGCAAAGATCTTCTGGCTTCCAGAGATTTAAGGTCTATTAATAGCAAACGAGACTTATACGATGGAATAGGCTCGCTGAAGTTAAGATTTCTGAGGGCAAATTTAAGAAAAACCTTCTGAACCCTTTCAATCCTATTAATTAGGTTTGAGTGGTATGGCCTCCAGATAAAAGAAGCATATTCTAACTTAGAACGAACAAAAGATGTGTATAACAATTTAAGTGTATAGGGGTCAGAGAACATTGAGCTCTGACGCCTGAGAAAACCAAGTACAGCGTAAGATTTAGAAATGATGTGACTGATATGACTGTTAAAAGACCAATTAGAGC